TGTGAACCAATCAATTTCAGGACAGTGCATATCATTATCAGAGTTGTGTTTTTTGTGTGCATTCCGACCGCAGGTATTGTGGTCAATGCAAACATGACTCCTTGTAAAAAAAGGTGTCAGTTTTGTTGCCAGATAAAAGGGTAAAAAAACAATTATCAGCACTTGCCCCCACAGTCTGTGACGGGCTATCGGAAGGGCGAGCGTCCCGAAGCGCATCTGAAAGCGCGCGATTCGGTCACCGCTGTCTTTTTATTCGAATGTTCGCCAAAAGCCGCCGCTGCGAGAATGATCGGAGTTTGCATGATCGGGGTTCATGCTCCTTCACGAGATCAGCAAGGTAGTGTGGTTCATTAGTGGCACGCACTTTGTGTGTAATGAGTGCGAACTTATGTGTTCGTTATCATCGGGGTGGCGAGGGGGTACTGCAGAGCCCTCGCTTGTCCCAGTGACCCCCCTGTGACCTTCCTGGCCACCACCACGCCACCCTCGCCTGCACCACTGGCCACTGCACGGACACCCATTTGAATATGGACACGACACAGATACATGATACCGGTAACGCTGTGGGTGCGATTTCAACATCCACGTTTGAATTTCTACCGCACGTAATTTTATTCGAGATGTATCATCGATAATTGACATTCCTCTTGTCAATCCACTGTTGGATGAAGCCCTCCCAAAACACCATATAGCTCATTGAGTTGTGTGGCCATACTTCACCACGCTGGTCAATGCGAGTTGGTAAATGGAGAGGTGCCGAACACCGGTTCTGATATCACTCGCCACTGATGTCAGCCGTGGCCGGGAATCGAGCTGAGGTCTCCGGGTTCAAACTTCAGCGTGCTAACCACTTCGCCACCGCTCCACCCATACGTGCAATGTACATTAACAGAGTACTGTACTGTATATATTTCACAATTGAATACTGTAATGTTGTAAATATGTCTGCGTTAAAATACAATGCTGGAAGCACTATTTGTGCACGTGCACTCAGTCTTCCACGTCGTCTTTATTCGTCGTGTTAAGTGTTTTTAAAATTAATAATTAAAGCAAAAGTCAACCTTTAAAATACTCGACATGTATAGATGCAACCTCCGAAGTTGGTGGGCTTTCAACGTCACTTTCAAAGATACGAGCTCTTAAAACAACAGGCGCGCGTGGTGAATTCCAATCAATCCTATCAACTCCCACTTCGCACTCTACACGTGCTGTACTGTGTTCGCTAATGTCACGAGTACTGGTAGTGACCCTTCTCCATCGCACATCAAACTATAACGAAGGGCCCTTGCCTGAAACGTCGCCTATTATATATACTTCTCCTTTTAAGGCAAACGCATAGCTGTCAACCCCTTAGTGCCTATCTTATTACAGACCAAGTCAGACCTAATTGGTCACCCCGTGCCCTTATACATCCCAACGTTCATCATACAGTCCCATCACAAGGGACAAACACAAATAGACAAATAAATGTTTGCCCGAAAAAGATGGCTGTACACCTATGGACCTGAAAACAACATTTCCCCACACAAGAATACGGCTAAAACGTATAGGTTGACAAGTATGTAAACGTGTGATGATGAATGTATGGAGGTATTTTAAAAATAAATAATTTGTCCACCAACGCAGCAGCAGCATCAACAATTGTATGCGCTGAACTTCTTTCGCACCGTACGTAGCCAACCGTGCTAATCGGAGGTGCGTCACTGGTGTTGGCCGTGAATTTTGCTTTAAAGACAGAGCGGGCAGCAGTGTCGGTGTCTCGAATGCCGCCACTGGCGGTGCTGGCCAGCTGATCGAACGTTCAGTTTCCACTCGGCGTTTCAGCTGCCGGGGTCGGCCGCTCGACCCGGATCGGGAAACGCCGTGACCACGACTCTCGCGTTCAGCTCAACCCCGCCTCCCCAGCGTCGTGCGCTTGCAAAGCGATCGGAAGACGGCGGCGCCACCAAACAGCCCCGATCGCAACACCTAAAGCTGACGACAATTCAACCGACTCGGAATTCCAAGCTCGCTTGCTCCAGCAAAAGCTGTCATTGTTAAAGCATGCCGTCAGCTCAAATCCGGGGCATATACCACGACACGAACTTGTCTGGGCGAGGGATACGGGAAGGGATGAAGAGACACTGTGCCAGGGCACGGAAGTGGTTTTGGGAGCTCGTTCTGGACTCACTGGGTGCGCGTGAGCTCCTGCACGCACAGCAGCAGCAACAGCAGAGTTGAGAAGAAGCCGCCGAGTGGTGCTGCCCTCATCACGGCCAGTGCTGGCAACTGCAAAACCCGCGGCGTTCAAACAAAAAACTCCCCCGCCACACCAACAGAGGGCAGAGCAGACATTGCGGGTCAATGCATGCACTCACAGAAGGCCACGTGGTTGATAATTAATGGTGTAAATACTGTAATATTTGTACATACACATGGAGAGATAGCTACGTGAATTAGGCCTATTGCCGACTTGTTGATATTGTTGATTTTGTTACCACATTTCTGGGAGACGCAGCGGCCCACTTTTACAAAGCCACGCCGACTCAGTCACTCGTCCAGTCCACACACTGGACCTGTTTCAACCTTCTGGGTCTCATCAGTAGAGTTAAACAAATGCTGCTGGATCAATTGAAGTTTTTGGCAAGAGCATATGCTTCGGCACCACTGCCAATGCAGCAGTATCACCGACTAATGCCAGGAAGTGTAAACAATTACACTGGTCAACAAGAAAAAACTTTTTTTTCTGGCCTGGACTTTTGCAGCTGTTTTAGACTAATTTCAGGGTGCTGATTCCAAATCTGATCTCAGATTTACTCTATCACATCTCATTTTTATGCTATCGGCATACCCCATTTCCATTGATTTTACCCGAAATTAACTCTGTCACTTATGATTGCAAGTCGTTGCGAGTCAGTGACTGCTTTAGTGTTAAAATATGGTTCTGTATTTTTAGGATAGTGTGTTTATAATATCATTTTATGTAGATATCCACATTTATTGAATATTTTTCTTCTGCAGTTTTTATTGGAAATGCAATATTTGCTACCTCAAAAACCTGATGTGATAGACAAAAACTGATGCCAGATTTGTAATCAGCATCCCAAAATTACCTTAAAACCGTTGGAATACCTTATGCCAGAAAAGTTGTGTTGACCAGTGTTATTGTGTGCTCTTTGATCATTGTTGTGATACTACAATGCATTGATGGCTCTTCCTCACAAAATTATGGATTTAAACTAGGGTTAAAATATGGTAAAGATTAAGACTCGTTCAGCCACGAACACAGGGGTGGGTGGACCTGCGGTTCTGGAGCCGCACGCGACTCTTTAAGGACTGCTTGGTGACTTGATTCACAAGCATTCTGGTGGCTCTTGAAATATTTACGGTATTTTTTTTCTACCGAATTCGAAAAAAATTGCTCCTCTTGTTATTTTTGTTGCCGACCCCTGAACTAAGACAACTAATTTGTGTCGCACCATCGAGTTAAGCCCGTTAGTTCAGCACACGGTAAATATTGAGCTGTGTGTGGGTCTGCCCGTTGCCGGTACAAAGGGAATTGCGTATCCCATGTAGACACGTGTAGGGTTATCACAAATAACTAGAGAGCAGAGACTCTTACTGGTAGGAACCTCCTAGTTACACCAGCCCACGGGGGATTATTGTGTCCGTCCGTCCGTCGTGCAGGGAGGGGCTGGGTGGGGAGGGAGGGGCTGGGTGGGGAGGGGACGGTGGGGAGGGGCTGGGTGGGGAGGGTGGGGCTGGGTGGGGAGGGGAGGGTGGGGAGGGGCTGGTCACCCCGTGATGCTCTTATAAAATTAAACGTTTAACCTACTCACGCTGGCTTGTGCCCGCCCTCTCAGTCGGGCATATTTGCGGAATACACCACGCCGCCGTTGACCCTGGCCATTGACCGAGCAACCCAACGTTCCTACCAGCTCCCTCCCCAGGAATATGCTAGGTACCCTTCTATTTCGCCGTATGGCTGATGTTGATGTAGAGCATTGGTTCTTAACCTTTACTGCAGCCTTGCACCACCCCTTTGGTTTTGAATTGTAAAAATATATATATAATGTTAATAAACACATAGGTTTGATGAAACACAGTAGTTGTACTTACGTGCCAGTGCTTAATTTGTGTTTCGATGATTTACCTTCTAAAGAAATCTGCCATGTCTGGCACCCCCAGAAAGGGAATCTCGCACCCCCAGGAGGTGCGGGCACACCCCAGGTTAAGAACCATTGATGTAGAGCGACAACTATAACTTTAAGTTGAAGCGATTCAGCCAGATTATTTGGTCAGGAGTAGCGGAGTGGTGCATCACCGTGATGATGCCTCCATTTGTGTTTATGAATCGGGATTTGAGTCGTCAAATGTTCAATGATCGCTTCTGGGTGTCCACAGTCGACACCGGACAGTTTTAAATATTCCATCAATCCATTAAACTATAAACTAGAACATTAAGTACTGTTTCCACATCTGCCATGGTAGTCAATCAGATGGGAGCCCATTGAGACAATTGTCAAAACGTAATAATGAAATCAACTAAAGCATTCTTTAACAGTCTCGAAATGGCTTGGAATCATATACAAGTCATCAAGTAATTTTGTTCTATCTGTAACCCCGTTGCAAAAGAGGCAATATTTTCCGTGTCTCAAAGGGTGTATTTAATTTCGTAGTTAAACAATGAAAGTAAAGAGCTCGCCATGATCTGTCTTAAGCCAAACTGTTTCGTGACTCGTATTCACGTGCATTGCGGCTCTTGAAATCTTTTTTAGCCGATTTTTGTTAAAATGTCTCTAATTATTTTGATTGTCGGCCTCCTGGTCTTAGCACAGTGGCTGAAGAAGGCCCCCTCGAAACCGCCGTCACTCCGCCCGCGTTCTTCAGCCGAGCTTCACTGCGTTCATCTCCGCCACGGTGCCCGTTTCCTGAGCCACATTCATTAGTCAGCCCCCACTTTCCCTCGGCCGTTCTTCCTCCTTCACGCCCTCTGCGATCTCCTTGGCCGCCTTTTTTTTAAAAACCCGTATTCCATAGTTTCGCTTCCGCATTCACCCATTCACTCACTCGCTCCAACCCACCACCCCGACTGTCAGAGACGCGCAGCGCTCTCCTCCGACGAGAAAACCCAGAACAACAACAACAAAAACAGCTCACACAACAACAACAACCGCTGGCGAGACCAATCAAGGCAAGCGTTAATTAAGTTAGCCGCAGAGCCGAAGAGAAGATGGCCAGGGCCGCCCCACGCAGACGGCATGAACACATTCCAGCCGAAGAGATCATGGTACGAGTTGCTGTGAATTGCGATGAGCAGCTGTGCGCTCCTGTCGCCTCTCCACGTGATGGCTGTGTGTGTGTGACGTCTCGCTGGCATTCGTGTGCGTGCTCTGAGTCGTGTGATGTCGGGAAATCATTCGTTAGGCACGTGAACGTCAAAAATGTGGCTATATAATAATTGTGGATGTGCCTATAGCGTATAGAGTAATTGTGGATGTGCCTATGCTGCCCCGATGTTCATATGTTGTACCATGTAAGGTAGACACATTTGTCACGAGACAAAATCACCCAGGGATGCACCGATTTCGTCACATGTGGGAAGTTAAGGAACGTCGGCTTTCGCGACCAATATCAACCATAATAGCGTTTTTTTTGGGGGGGAGAAAGGATAAGTTCAAAGGGCTCGCATAATGCGCATGCATAATGCGCACGCATAATGTACGTAGCCTCAGTAATCCCCCCCCCCCCCCACATTGTACAAGAGCGCAGAAGCGTGGTCAACACATCTACGCCTCTATATAAGGAACGAAACAGGTGGATTTCTCCACAAATCTGGCTATCGCCTGATGAAGCTAGTTGTAATTACTGGCGAAACGTCGTACTCAGATTGTAAATGTTGTGGATTGGCTCTCCAACACACCGGTGTGCTGCACTAGTGACGAACTGGCCACGTTCTGTTTACGTGACAACCCTTACTAGTTGGCTGTGTCGGGTGGTGGTGAGTTTTAACGACACATTTACATATTTACGCGATCTAACCCAAAAACCTCTTATGAAGGAAAGCCTTGTTATGCAAGTGTTGTTCCGAGGCGATTAAAACAACAACAGCTGGTTGTACTGTGTCCTTGACACGCGTTTTAACACTTTATTATTACAGCAATGTCAAATCTAACCACCGATTATTGACTGTGCAACAACAAAACACAGTCGAGCTGGTGTCGATAGTGCTGTGTCTGCCAAGCCGTGCGATCTGAACCGCTGATTCACCCCAACCAGATGCTCGTCCAGTTTGGCGTGCTCTGAACCAGTTGAGTTGGACTCGGAATTTGTGTTTCTTCCCCTGCGAATTCTGATGCATCAGCTGACAGGGAAAACGAGGCCTTTCTTCAGTAACAGCGTGACCTTTTGGTTACTCAGGCGTTTCAACCATTAAATAATTTGCATGATAATGCGAATAAAAAATGTAATACTTTTCCATCACAGTATTTTCAAGTATGTATGTTATTTGACATGTTCTCTTTGACAATTACGTTGTATCTTGTTTGTAGGTGAGGAACTTAATGCACAGTACATACAATATGAGGGAAGCCACTGTTTCTGATTGGAGTATTGTTCTGGAAGAGTTTTAATTTGTCCCATTTTCCAACAATACAATGTTCTTTACAAATTACTGAGTAGACTTCAGTAAAACTCACTCTTGAGTGAGATGACAATGCGAATATAGACAACTAGAGATACGAAGGTGTCGGAACCAATCTAGAAAACAGAGACGTGGAGATGGTGTGTTGACAAGAGACAGTGAGAGCTAGAGATGAAACGCGTCGAAAATATATAAATGCAGAGAAATGCAACATTGATGTTTGGGAGGAGAGACGAGCGGTGCGGACAGTATAGCTGTGTAGTGAGATGAGAGAGATGTAAGCTGGATATGTTGTTCATAGCAGATGGTGAGAGAGAATGAATGTAGATATATTGTACTCGGCAGATATTTAGTGCACGCCTCTTGTTCCCATAAAATCTGGTGCCCTTGAGCTTCTTGTGACCCTAAGCATTTGCTCATTTTGTTTATGCTTATTTCTATCACTGCAGTATTACAAGTATAGTGACATAAATTTAGATTTAAAGCTTTCGTGACTGCAGGGATTCATATTCTTGGTTCTTTCGACGTTTCGACTGCAACACAAGCAATCATCATCAGGTGTGACTGCAACACAAGCAATCATCATCAGGTGTGATGATGATTGCTTGTGTTGCAGTCGAAACGTCGTGAGAATTTTTATTGTTCTATATTTGTATTATTATTTATTTTATTATTTCCCTTCTACGTGACTTTACCGAACGAACCAAGAATATGTAGTGACATAGTTCTGACTGCTGTCCAGCATCGACAACTGCGATGGACAGTTAGCACACACGCCATTGAGCATATACACGGGTGTGCCGGCAGGGCGGAGGAACTGGGGCAAGCGTCACGGAAGACCTCATCGGGAAGCCCAGGAACCTGCTAGTGGGTTCGAGAAGGGAGGCGCGGCCAGGGTGGAGCCAGCCTACGCCAAGTAGCATAAAAGCAGCAGAGAGCGGGAGCTCCGGGCTGCCGGTTCTGGGAGTAGACTCGTCTCATCGTCGCTGTCGTTTTCGCCGCCTTTGTCGCTGCCGCCTTCACTCGATAATTGCGCGGCCGGATAGTTGTTGGCTGTCTCGGTCAACGCCGTCAGTGTAACGCGGTCAGGGTTGTGGCTCGGCTGGGCTGTACGGCATCAGGGGGAACGAGGCGAACCTGTGAACCTAAAGAGTCCATAATAGAGGTTTTGGGTTAGATCGCGTAAATATATAAATGTGTCGTAAAAATCCGCCACCACCCGACACAGCCAACTAGTAAGGGTTGTCACGTAAACAGAACATGCCAATTCGTCACTAGTACAGCACACCGGTGTGTTGGAGAGCCAAGCCACAACATTTACAATCAGAGTATAACGTTTCGCCAGTAATTACAACTAGCTTCATCAGGCGACAGCCAGATTTGTGGAGAAGTCTTCCTGTTTCGTTCCTTATACAGAGGCGTAGATGTGTTGACCACGCAGCTGCGCTCTTGCACAATGTACACAATATGTTTTGTCGTTGTGCAATCTAGATACGGAATTGTAATTCGATCTCCCATTGAAACATTGGGAAATGTCTAAATTTCCTCTCTGTCCACCGAACAGTATAAATGGGTTACACAAACAGTCGATTGGCTGGGAGTGTGTGGTGAGGTAGAGTGTGGGCAATCCCACCTCTGCCAAGACGTCTGGCCTGTGTGGAGAGGGACAAGTAATTACAGGGCTGCACCTTAATCTTGTTTTACAGTTCGTCGCACGTAACATGAGATTGCTGTGCCACTTCCATTGTCAGTCACATCGATCATATACAGTATGTACATTGCATCGCTGCGTAAACATTCTACACATTAATTGTGCTACTGCAGCAGATTGTGAATAGTGGCCTACTGGACATGTGAATAACAGCTTCATAGCTCATCGGATTCCTCCAGTATGAATATTGATTCTGATTTTACGCTTCACAGGCATTGGGATGTGGTTTTTGTGTAAGGTAAAGTGTGATTTGTGCTGTACCGAGGGCATACTCTGCAAGACTGATAAAGGGACCTATGGAAATGCACGTTTTATACAGTAGTGTACGGTACTGTACTTAATTGACGGGGAAGTGGCACGATTTTGAAGATGAAATGTCGACATCCATTATTCATGAGCACATCTGTATATGTTAAATGGAAACCACTTCAATATGAGCAGGACTTAATTTAGGTATCGTGCCCCTGGGACACCCGAGCAGAAAAAGGGCTCCTACCACGATCTCCTCACCTTCCCTTGTTCATAACATAGGCACACTGTACACACAAGCACCCCAATCCCTCACAGCCAGGACACACTCCAAAAGCATAAACAACAAACGACAGTACCCACATTTTTCTAAAGATCGGAATGTTTCAACTTCATCCACCGCACTGCATTGCACTTGATACGCTTTTTTCATCATAATTTGCTCAAGTCTTCATTGAACCGCGTTAAAAAATGCTTTGATCACAGAATCCTATAAATACCCTCAACATTGCGGTTATAACGTACACGTAGTATGCAGCGATAGGGTTCTCTATAACGGGAATCTAGTTTTGTTTACTTCTCGGACAAGCTCGGTCGGGTTGAATGACGAGTGCACGAGTCGCGATAAAGCTCAGCTTAAAAGCTTTCACCTTCCAATAAAACCCATCACATTCGTCAATAGCACTGCCTAAATGAGACGCAGTATGTACGTAGTAGTAATAGGTGACGTTTCGGGCAATGGCCCTTCTTGGGGTCTTCAAATTTGCAACTTTCATCTTTGTGGACGAACATAAACTCCCTGCCCCTGTTCTAATCTAATCTTAAGACGTGTCGCTCCTCTTCTGCCTTGGCTACACTATATCTCTTCCATAGAATATAGACAATAATTACTTTACTGTGTATGCATGAATCGATATATTTTTTTCCCCAGAAGTTAACGTTACACGATGCGCATGTCACACATTTTTTTTGTACAGGCATCTTGAGATGCAGTTGTATAATTAGACTCTGAATAAATACAATCTAATTGTATTTCAATGAAAAGGTTTGCTCTCCAAAAGACTATTCGACACGAAAAGGTAGCGCAGTCGGGAGCACAGGTGGTTCACCTTGCCACAGTCATTTTAGTGAGTTAACGCAGCATAGCTGTCAACCCCTTATCAGTGCCCTACCTTATTACAGATCAATTCAGACCTTATTGGTCACCCTTTTCCCCTAAAACATCTCAACGTTCATCTGACAAAGTCCCATCGCAAGGGAGAAACACAAACAAATAGACAAAAAACATTTGCCCGTATTGAAAAGGCTATACGCCGTATGGACCTGAAAACTCAACATAAGATGAAGCTACCCCAATGACCAGCATGGCATGAGGAAGCCTTCATCCATTCGTGGATTGACAAAAGTTAGGTTCTTTTTTAACCCTAACCCTGGGATGAATTGTAGAGGTTTGTCCTCTATATACGTATATAGGTGGTTTTGGTGTCATTTATTGAAGATGCGTGCAGGAGAGAATGGACAACTTTGCATCGTTAGAAAGTCAGTGATTGCCACCATAAATAAAAGTGCTGTTGTAAGAAACATACAGTACAGCAAATATTTGTGGCATACAGGAGGGAAGTGGGCCACCGATAAGCATGCTCTACGGTAGTAGCATATGAGCTTGCATCCTGTTTAATATATCAAATATCCAAAACTCTTTTTTGTGTTGTTTATGAAGTAATAGAGTTAAAATATCGTGCAACTTTCCATTGTGCGATGAGCACAAATCACACGGTAATGGATTTGGCTAAAATGCCTCTGCAGGGGGGGGTTGGGGTAGATAAATTAACATGTCAATGACAGAGTTGTGTGGAAATCCTCCCCGTAGCGGCCGGAGGAGAGAAAATGGACCTATAAACAAACAAGCATGGCAAAATTTATAGAGAGAAATAGGAAGTTTGAGAAAACAAACTTAGTAAAATTTGGAAGTGTAATGCAATGCAACACAGAGAGTCGGTTAACACACATTTAACGCATAGCCTGGTTGATTACGTTCTACCAAAGATTGCTAAATTAGAAGTTAAGTGTGAGTTGTGTGGAAATACTCCCCATATAAGTAGTTCAAACTAGATTTGAAGCTTTCGTGACTGCAGGAATTACTCTTTGGTTCTTTCGGTAAAGTCTTCCCCCCCTCTCTCTCTGCCCCCCCCCCCCTCTCTCTATTTAAGGCCTCGACACGGGCGTTGTTTCTCTGTGTGTCTATGTGTGTGTCTCTCTGCTTGTGTGTCTATGTCTCCGTGTCTCTGTTTTGTCTCTCTCTTTGAAATTGATCCATCTTTGGAAGAACGTAATCAACTAGGTAGGGTGTTGACTGGTGTGTTAGCCGACTCTCTGTGTTATATTGCATTACAAGTTTACTAGGTTTGTTTTCTCATTCATTCCTACCTGATGACGGTTGCTTGTGTTGCAATCAAAACGTCGTATTCTATTATTTAATTTATTTTCTTTCTACTTGACTTTACCGAAAGAATCAAAGAGTAATTCCTGCAGTCACGAAAGCTTCAAATCAAGTTTTATACACACATCCTTTAGTAAAAAATGCTTCACTTGCTTGTGCCATAACATTTGAGAACGTACACGACTGTATATGTATAAACAATGTCAGCACCAACTTAAAACATTGCATTCGTCCTTGATTAACTTAATGTCAAGTTGGCAACACATCTGAAGATATGTACACTCTGTGTGGAGTAGATCTCTTTTCAATGTTCATAGTCAGGGTGCTGCGGTGGTGAGATGTTTTTTCCGTTGCCTAGTATGCAGGTCAGTCGGTCGATCCTAACCCTGACGCCTGGATATTTGGAGTTTGCATGTTCTCCCCGTGGTCGCGTCGAATTTTCTATGGTTTTTCCGGTTTTTCCCACCATGTTTAGAATCAACGTGCATTGAAGAGTATACTGCTGCTATAAATTTCATTGAGCTATCATTTGTGACCAGGTCACTTCTGAAAAAGTGCTAATAGCTCAGTGGGCTTTATCTGGTAAAAAATAGTTTGGTTTCATAACAATGTCGCAATATCCTATAGCCAGGACAGCCTCACTGAGTCTCAACACTCTTTTTCAGGACGCTCCTACATTAGGATGGAGGAACAATGCCAATAAATGAGTTTCAATAATTATTATTGTGCTTGTTTACCCAGAAAAGGCCCACTGAGTCTCAAGAATTGTTAACTTTGTTGCAGTTGGGTCGATGTTGCTATTTTGCCTAATCCAATTTAATAATTTACAGATTATGTTTTAGCATTGGAATGTTGACCAATACCAGTTACATTGCATGATTTTTTGAGCTATGGGAGGAAATTGTCAAACCCAGAGAAAACCCATGCAGAATGGGGGAGTGAACATGCAAACTCCACACAGAAAGGCACCCGAGTCGGGCATCGAACCCAAGGCCCCCTGTTGCTGCGAGGCACACGTGTTGAGACTGTCCTGCCGCCCAGTGCAATAGCATACGCCAATGAAATCTCCGTACCTTCCCTGAGCTGCTGTGGCGTTTTCCGAACATACAGATGGAGAAGAGTATTCGGCGGCTGCGTGAGAAAGTTCACGGGAAGGTGTCCATCGAGAAAGCGGCTGCCCTCATGCTGCGCTTCCAGATGCAGTATGAGAGCGTGGCCAAGTACATCGTCCTGGCCATGGACAGAGAAGGTGAGGAACGCATGAGTCATGCTCGACGCACACCTGGCTGGCAAACACACTCATTGTGGTAAAATTAAACTAACCTATTAACCCCTTTCCCATTCCGATGACATATGTGTACGTCATGACAGAGAAACCAGAAGTAAAAATAAAATATCTTTATCGGTTCTGAGGCTCCCACAAGGCCACGCGGGAGGGCGTGTGGCACAGTTTGGCGTCAGCTGTCATAGAGTTGCGGTCGTATATCTACAGTTCTCTGCAGTGAGTACAATGTATTTAAAAACAACCATGCTATGCCTCTCTAAATAAAATTAACGCTGAGCCGCTTGCGCGTTCCGATATTCAGATGTAAATGAGACACCCTCCCTGCAACTTGCAGATATCTTGGAATGCAAAATACCCACTGAGCTACAGTGAGGGAAAAGAGTATTTGATCCCTTGCTGATTTTGTACGTTTGCCCACTGACAAAAAAATGATCAGTCTATAATTTTAATGGTAGGTTTATATTTGAACAGTGAGAGACAGAATAACATCAAAAAAATCCAGAAAAACGAATGTCAAAAATGTTATAAATTGATTTGCATTTTAATGAGGGAAATAAGTATTTGATCCTCTCTCAATCAGATTTGTGGCTCCCAGGTGTCTTTTACACAGGAAACAAGCTGAGATTAGGAGCACACTCTTAAAGGGAGTGATCCTAATCTCAGCTTGTTACCTGTATAAAAGACACCTGTTCACAGAAGCAATCAATCAATCAGATTCCAAACTCTCCACCATGGCCAAGACCAAAGAACTCTCCAAGGATGTCAGGGACAATATTGTAGACCTACACAAGGCTGGAATGGGCTACAAGACCATCGCCAAGCAGCTTGGTGAGAAGGTGACAACAATCAATCCTAATCAAAAGGAGACCTGATGGTTCAATGAGCCACTCTGTCTACAGGAAAGCCACCCATACGGATGCTTATCTAAAACCGGATTCCCACCACCATCCATCCCAGAAGAATTCCCTCATCAAGACTCTATATCATAGAGCCCAATGCATCTCCGACCATGAACACATTGCCAGTGAACTCAAACACGTACGCCAAGCTCTTAAGGCTAATGGTTACTCCGACTACACAATCCGCAAAGCCATCACTCCATCCATCAAGAAGGATCCTGTTGAGGAGCCTTTCAAGACCATCACCTTACCCTACATTGCTGGGGTCACAAAAAAGATCTCCAAAATCCTGATTAAACACAAGATCCTTTGTTACTGCTAATCCCTGCACCCCCCCTTGGTGCTGCTGATCCTGCATAATGCATGGGCATAATATGACTTTGAAACCCCCCCGCCCAACGCCTACGCATTTTCCATGAATATGCTAAATTCCTCTTCATATGCACATTCTTTTTGTTAAGGCGCTCTTCCACCTTCAACGCAGCTTATATATAAGCTCCTAGTTTGGTAGTGTCTCATTCTTCACCTGAAGACGGCTGCTTGCGTTGTAGCCGAAACGTCGTGAGAATTATTTTATTTTATTATGTTTTATTTTTATTATTTTATTACTTCCCTTCTACGTGACTTTACCGAAAGAACCAAGAAGGTGACAACAGTTGGTGCGATTATTCGCAAATGGAAGAAACACAAAAGAACTGTCAATCTCCCTCGGCCTGAGGCTTTATGCAAAATCTCACCTCGTGGAGTTGCAATGATCATGAGAACGGTGAGGATCAGCCCAGAACTACACGGGAGGATCTTATCAATGATCTCAAGGCAGCTGGGACCATAGTCACCAAGACAACAGTTGGTAACACACTACGCCGTGAAGGACTGAAATCCTGCGGCGCCCGCAAGGTCCCCCTGCTCAAGAAAGCACATTTACATGCCCGTCTGAAGTTTGCCAATGAACATCTGAATGATTCGGAGGACAACTGGGTGAAAGTGTTGTGGTCAGATGAGACCAAAATGGAGCTCTTTGGCATCAACTCAACTCACCGTGTTTGGAGGAGGAGGAATGCTGCCTATGACCCCGAGAACACCATCCCCACCGTCAAACATGGAGGTGGAAACATTATGCTTTGGGGGTGTTTTTCTGCTAAGGGGACAGGACAACTTCACCGCATCAAAGGAATGATGGACGGGGCCATGTACTGTCAAATCTTGGGTGAGAACCTCCTTCCCTCAGCCAGGGCATTGAAAATGGGTCGTGGATGGGTATTCCAGCATGACAATGACCCAAAACACACAGCCAAGGCAACAAAGGAGTGGCTCAAAAAGAAGCACATTAAGGTCCTGGAGTGGCTTAGCCAGTCTCCAGACCTTAATCCCATAGAAAATCTGTGGAGGGAGCTGCAGGTTCGAGTTGCCAAACGTCAGCCTCGAAACCTTAATGACTTGGAGAAGATCTGCAAAGAGGAGTGGGACAAAATCCCTCCTGAGATGTATGACCTCTGTGATTGCCAACAAGGGTTTTGCCACCAAGTACTAAGTCATGTTTTGCAGAGGGGTCAAATACTTATTTCCCTCATTAAAATGCAAATCAATTTATAACATTTTTGACATGCGTTTTTCTGAATTTTTTTTGTTATTCTGTCTCTCACTGTTCAAATAAACCTACCATTAAAATTATAGACTGATCATTTCTTTGTCAGTGGGCAAACGTACAAAATCAGCAGGGGATCAAATACTTTTTTCCCTCACTGTATATAACTCTTTTTCAGAAGTGACCAGGCCACAAATGATAGCTCAACGAAGTGGCTTATCATGTGGAAATTTATAGCAGCCAAATACTTGAAATGCCTGTTTATTCTAAATGTGGAGGGAAAAACCGGAGGTGCTGAAGAAAATCCACATGACCACGGGGAAAACATGCAAACTCCAAATATACAGGTGTCAGGGTTGGGATCGAACCCACAATCTCCTGTAAACTGCTCACAGTTCTGCATATATACACATTATTTTACATTATTCATGCTATGCTTAACTGCAGGTTATTCATATTGCCCATACAATGCATTCAATGCATGATATGACACAAATTATTCTTAATAACCATTGCACAGCATTACAATTCTATTTGAAGCTTCCGTGACTGCAGGAATTACTCTTTGGTTCTTTCTTTACAGATTGCACACGAATGGATGCAATGAATATCACGTCGTGGTCTGCTTTTTGCTTGCAAATTTCAGATTTACTGCAACACACCCGTCCTTGGATGGGCAAAAGGCTAGTTTATGTTTAATTTTAAAGCAGTGTGATGGACGAATTATGTTGATACTCTTCGGTTTTTTCGGTAAAGTCACGTAGGTAAAAAAAATTAATGAAATCAACTAAATTAAATCACGACGTTTCGGAGGCAACACAAGCTTCCGTTTTCAGGTGGAACCGTTACAGCCAAAGTCGCTGTAGTAAGTGAAGCGAGCTAATAGAGAGACGCGGCTATATTGGGTAAGAGGGGGGGGAGCCAAGGTAGGGGGGGGCATTGGGGGGAGGGGGATGCTTGCCTGAAGGTAAGCCGATTGATAACATTTATTCATGGGGTACCATGATGTTGAGTTTATTGTTAATTGTGCTTGCCCACCACTATCAAAGTAGCATCGCCAAATCATTCGTTCTACGATGATGGAGCAGTCTTGGCTAAATCACGGTCACCAGCACATGGCAGATGGAATGATGAGACCTCCAAGAGGCAAACTCTGATGATCACCGTGCCTGCGATGGTTTGATTGGGATAATAGGCACAGCAAGATATGCAGGTGCATGTTCCTGCACTTTCCCTCATCATTTACAGTGGTAGGACCCGTCGCTTAGCAGCCTATTGAGATGCACATAAACAACGTTATACACATTGTAAATTACAATATATATAATTAATATGACTGTTGTGCTCAGACTTGCAGATGAATGAAAGAGACAGGCAGCTCCTCAACAACCCATCCATACAGGTAAGGGCTGAGGATAAAATACCTAATTCATACAAATACGAGATGTGGTGACACACGCCTGTGACTTGGAGGTGGAGTTTGTGGATCACACCAAGATGGAGCCATTGGGTACATGAGACACCTACCTGTAGAGTAATACGACAGCACCTATAATTATATGTTTAAATCCATCAGCTTATGGGCTTTTTGTTTTAGAGTCCAGCAGTATTTGTTAAAGAAAAATTTAATAATGTTGGGTTGCCAAATGTTATTGGAAAGTGCCCTGCACCTTCAGAATGGACTTTTTTCTAGTGCTACAAAGCAATGCTGTGTTGTATAGAACTGACTAGGGGGCTATGGTGGTGAGATGTTAACTACCTCGCCTGGTATACAGGAGGTCGTGGGTTCGATCCTGACCCTGATGCCTGTATATTAGTAGTTTGCATGTTCTCCCCGTTGTCGCGTGGATTTTTCTCCGAGCCCTCCGGTTTTCCCCTCCACATTTAGAAACATGCGTTTTATAGTATTCGGCTATGATACATTTCCACGTGATGAGCCACTTCGTTGAGCTATCATTTGTGACCAGGTCTCTTCTGAAAAAGAGCTACATTTCTCAGTGGGCCTTACCTGGTTAAATACAAATACATTACAATAGTTAAGAATTAAACCACACACCATTGTGGAACATTGTACATGCATCGCCGTTTTTTGTCAAGTACACCACTAGCCAAGAGCCTCTCCACAAGTTGAAGTCCATGAATCATATTCGATCATACCTCACCGCTCTGGTCACTGTGGATTGGATAAGGTGCACTGCCCTCTACTGTCGACAGCGTATAGTACAGTGTCCTTGGGCCATGGATATCACCCATCCAAGCACTATCCAGGCTCAGCTGAGATTTGATGAGATCTGGTAATTTTTTTCTGTGGAGCATTATGGGTAATAATAACAAATATGCCTTTGTTGTGTCTGTCCACATGAAATTATTTTGGGACATCAATCTCAGAACCTTCCAGACTGTCATCCAGCAGCATTTTTTAAAGCAAGCAAACTCATGTACCATCGAGTTGATTTCAAATATGTGGATGTTTTACGTTTCAACACTGCAATATACAGGGTGTTTATAAAATATGGACCCGATTTGAAATCGCTATATCTCTGCAACCATGAACCGCCCATGAATGAAACTCTTACCACTTGAAAGGGCAGGGCATAGAGTTTCAAATGATTACTGCTAGATGCCTCTTTCAGTGCACAAACAGCCCCTAGCCTCAATCATTTGCAAGATAGCGACCCCGCAACACAAGGCATTTTACGTTCTGCAGTTCAGCAAACCTGAATCCGTAATTGCAGTGCAGCGTGCGTTTCAGCGGTGTTTTGGCATTGATCCGCCAATATCAAAGAGCATTCGTTGTTGGTACCGACAATTTGAGGAAACAGGTTGTTTATGTAAGGGGAAGAGCACAGGGCGACCACGCACCTCAGAGGAAAACGTGAGAAGAATTCAAGAGAGTTTTCTGCGTAGCCCGCGCAACTCCACTCGTTGTGCCAGCCGAAAACTTGCGATCCCTCATACGACTGTCTGGCGTGTGTTAAGGCAATGTTTAATCAAGAGGCCATACCAGTTGCAAATGGTACAGGCTCTTCGCGCAGGTGACAAAGGAAAGCATGTAGATTTAGTGATGCGATGTTACAGAACATGGAGGACGACAGCTTCTTACCGTGTTTGATTTTTAGTGATGAAGCAACGTTTCATCTAAGCGGTAAAGTTAACGGTCACGATGTGCGCATATGGGGATTAGAGAATCCACACGAAACTGTAGAGCATGAGCGTAGTTCCCCGAAAGTGAACGTGTTTTGTGCTGTTTCTCAAAGAAAGGTTTATGGCCCTTTCTTTTTCGAGGGAAACACAATTACGGGGTAAGCGTATCTCGAAATGCTGCAGAAATGGCTCTTTCCACAACTTGATGAAGATTCCGACGTTTTCTAAATGACACACTGCCTCAACATTGGATAGGTCGTATGGGACCCAAAGACTTGGCGCTACACTCTTGGCCCCCAAGATCCCCAGACATCACACCCTGCAACTTTTTCTTGTGAGGATACGTCAAAGACCGTGTTTTTGTGCCACCATTAGCGACTAATCTGGATGACCTTTTTGTGTAATTGTAACATGTTGCCATCGTGAAATATACTGCTTTGAAATTGGGTCCATAATTTTGAAACACCCTGTATTAGTCGGTTTTCTGAGACAACATACTTTACTTCTGGACTTGTATCGGTCCATTAGAATGCAATACTGGACATTGAAACTGTTTGACATTGGCAAAAAAAGAGGTGGCCAGGTGACTCAGTGGCCTAATTACCAGCAGCGCCCTGAGCAAATACAATTTGGATGTGGTGAGTAATTGTGCTCAATTCAAATTGTATCCATGCTCAAGTGAGCATTGGGTGCATTCATCTTTTATCGACGGTCCCTTGCCAGTGTTGGAAGTTTAACATTCCTTGGCCAGGCCAGTCTCCCCATGTGATGACTACCATAAAAAATAAGAATGGGTTTTATCCTTTGTGGCAAAAAACAGTTGTTAAGATGTTCAAACACCAAATAGATACATTTTACAAGGCATCAGGTCTGTATTGACCACATGTACTTGTGGTGAACATGCAAACAAACTTTCTCTGATAATATATGCATTGTCCTTGAAACTGATTGGCCTACACCAGAGACAGCCTTCCTTATGGAATCGTCTCACCAGTGTCAGACCAGAGAATGCCAAAAGGCAGACAGTACAAAGAAAATGCACGTATGAGAGCATTCCTAGCTCGGGGTGAGTAGCTATATCATGAGACCTTTTTGCCAGTAAAAAAAGTATGCAAAATAAGAATAGGTTTTATCCTTTATTGTCAGGTTTTACCCTTTATTGCCAGAAAAGGTAAAACCTCTTATTATTCATACTTTGATACTGACAAAAAGGTCCCATGATATGATGACTACTGTTGACTTCCACACTATGATACGAATGTTTATCCATCTGGGAGGAATACTGGGCTGAGTCAGCCCTTGACCCGTTGTTTGTTATTCTTTCAGAACATTATGCGTCGGATACGGATGAATGTCCCGCTGCCACCAGAGCCCAGGCAAAGGGATCCCATGCAGGATTTCGACGTTCAGGTTGTTAATTACATCACTGTGGAAAGTCGACTCCAGCGGCACATGGCCGTGGCATATAATGAATAGCTTTGAGATGATCTGTGCCAACATATAACACGTTAAACAAGTCAATCTAGCATGAAAATGGACACTTAATTAATAATGTGAAGAGCCCAGTCGCTGTGGCAAACATTATAAAAGCACAATTAGAAGATAAGTTGTAAAAGAAGCAAAAATATATAAACGGTGACGATTTTTTTTTTAAATGTAGGAATGTCAATACATATGTTGGCATAAATGTAGGCTTTGTAAAACAAAACTACACTTTCATAAAAATGTAAGGTTTCTTTCATGAAATTTTGGCACAGATGTTAACTACCTCGCCTGGTATACAGGAGTCGTGGGTTCAATCCCGATACTGACGCGTTCATATTTGGAGTTTGGATGTTCTCCCGTGGATTTTTTTCTCCGGGTCCTCCGGTTTTTCTCTCCACCTTTAGAAACATTGGTTTAGATTATTTGGCTTCTATAAATTTACATGTGATAAGCCACTTCGTTGAGCTATCATTTGTGGCCAGGTTGCTTCTGAAAAATATCTATATAGCTCAGTGGGCCTTTTTTGGAAAAAAAAATGTGTTTAGTTGGATTGTACCAGAGCAGATAGAATTTCCCTAACTAAACTCATGCAGCCACTGAATTTGTTTCGTCAGGATTGCATCTGTTCAAATGTGTTTCACCTATGTAGGCGGCAGCCAACGGGCTACGCGTGCTGGAGCTGACCGAGCAGAACCTCAACATGTTCGAAAACTTGGCGAACAATGAGCTGCCGCACGATGACTGCCAGTTTGCGTGCAGCGTCTGCGACAGCGTGTGGTGGAGACGCGTGCCACAGCGGAAAATGGTCTGAACTTCAATCCCAGCACGAGACTAATCTGCACCATGCTTTAACCCGCCTGTAAATGTATGTATGTTGAACTTCTTTCGCACCGTACGTAACCAACCATGCTAATCGTAGATGCGGGGGAAGGACAACAAACTAAACACAAAAAGCAGTTTAAAAAAGAAAATTTCAATCGAGATGATTTAAGAGTGCATAGCTCCAGTGGCTTCCGTATATCATAAGCAAGAGCATTCCAGACGGTTGCAGAAGCGCATCTGAAAGCGTGTAATACAGTGACTGTATTTGTTCAATGGCTAGCCAAAAGCCACTGCGACGAAATCAGCAAGGTATTGTGGTTCATTTGTGGCAGGCACTTTGTGTGTAATGAGTGCAACTGCATCACCCCAATCTTCAGATCGCTTCACTGGCTGCCAAGCCACTGTCAGATCAGCTACAAGACTGCCCTCATTGTTTCAAGATCAATCATGAATTGATTCCCAATTGTCTTATTTGTCATCTTCTCCAGTAAATCTCTACCCACTCTGTTGATTCTTCTCCTTTGTTTCCTCCACTGTCTATAAGTAATTCCACCTGCCACCCACACTGCTCACTCTACTTCTGTTCTCAAATCTTTCATCGTCCCTGAACTAATTTTACCTTTTTTCCCTCATGTATTACACTGGTCAACACACTTTTTCTGGCATAAGGTATTCCCACGGTTTTAAGGTAATTTTGGGGTGCTGATTCCAAATCTGGCATCAGTTTTTGTCTATCACATCAGGTTTTTGAGATATCAAATATTGCATTTTCAATCAAAAGTGCAGAAGAAAAATATTAAATAAATGTGGATATCTACATAAAATAATATTATAAACACACTATCCTAAAAATACAGCACCATATTTTAACACTAAAGCAGTCACTGACTCGCAACAACTTGCAATCATAAGTGACATAGTTAATTTTGGGTAAAATCAATGAAAATGGGGTATGCTGATAGCATAAAAATGAGATGTGATAGAGCAAATCTGAGATCATATTTGGAATCAGCACCCTGAAATTAGTCTAAAACAGATGCAAAAAGTCCAGGCCAGAAAAAAATGTTTTTTTTGTTGACCAGTGTTATTTACTAGTCTTTCCCTCGAAGCCCATACCTTAGGTGAAAGCAAAGAGTGAGTGTGCAGTGGGTTGGAACGTTGTCTCATATAAATTAGCTTGAGTAGGATTTGCAGTTCCATTTATAACAGCGGTCGGGAACCTATGGCTCGCGAGCCATATATGGCTCTTCCAGTGACGGTATATGGCTCCCAGACAATTTTGAGTTGAAAAAAGAAAAAATAATAATAAAAAAATCAGTTTGGAACTGATTTTTAAACACTTGTCATATTGCTTAATAATACTGTGTCATTTTAAAGTAAACAGAAATTAGTTTTGAAGATAAATTTCACGGGTCACGCCTGCACGAAGCTCAACCTCACCACGTACGAACCAGACTACAAGGCCATCAGCAAAACCATGTAGCACCAGAAGTCGCATTAAAAGTAAGACATATTTAATTTATTATACGTTAAAAATACTATATGGCTCTCAATGAAATATATTTAGAAATATTTGGCTTTTATGGCTCTCCCAGTCAAAAAGGTTCCCGACCTCTGATTTATAAGGTTCTTGCCTCAGAAACACGCATCTTCCATCTCATCTCAATCATTCCAATACTTAACTTTATTTTTAGCCCAGGGGAGCCTCTGATGGCAGCTGTCCCCATATGGCACAAGGTGAACACACCCCCAAGCTGCAAGTGGGTAGTAGTTTGCCAGTTGCCGGCAATGTTTCTATGGGTTTTATCAATTGAGTAATTTGCAAATATTTGGATTTATTTGAACCATGACCCTAGTGCATGTGGCCTACTCTTTTTCCTAATCACGTCACGGGATTTGTCACATCCACTGTGGAGCATACAGCATATATTTTCTGGTAATACACCCACGGCATTAACCAGAGTGGCCACGGGGATGAATTGTGAACCTTCCAACGAGCGGAAAATGCGCCACCGCTCGGCAATGCCACCGCCCAACAACTTCTGTTGCTTCCACCGTTGCTGATCGGGGTGTGGATCATTCATTGTCTTTGCTGTGCAGGTGTCCCAGTGCAGGCGCTGCAAAAGGAAGTACCAGCCAGTGCCACGGGACAGGGAGTGGGGGAGTGGAGCGCTCTTCAACTGCACAAACTGCAATAACACCTTCAGGTTGTCGGCGATAAAAGGGACAGCTTTTATGTGTATTGATGCATTGATTCGCAAAGCTTACGCGAGTGTGCGTGTGTGCGCATGAGAACCGGTGTTTTATAAAAAATATATTATATCGTAATACGAGAGGAGCAAACCATTGAAAAGGATGTCACCACTCAAATACATTTGCATAGTGATGGAGAAAAAAAATGTGGGGGGGGGTGTGAAAGCAAACTGAGAGCAAATCGTTTAGAACTACAAAACTCGTGTTGAGGACAGATAGTGGCAGCAGTAAAGGAATGAAACGCATCTCAGAGAACATCTACTGCGGAGATGGAGTGACGACATCGGCTCGCGCACAGGTGCTAGTGCTCGGTGGATTATTCAATTGTGACAGATGGTGCATGCTTGGGGGAGGCCTTCATCCGGCAGTGGATTTAACATGGCTGCTGATGATGAGAATGAATTAAAAAAAAATAATGAGCGCAATGTATTGTGTATATGATTACGCTAGTAGTAAATATAGAGCACTAGCGGTAAGTACCCGGCGTTGCCTGGGCGAAAAAGACACACACACATCGACTTAGAAACACACACAGACATCGACGCACACACACAAACACATCGACTTACCCACACACACAGATATGGACTCACACACACATAAATCTACTTTAGATACACACACATGGAGTTACACGCACAAATCGACGTACACACATACAGCGACTCACACATACATACGTAGACTCTCACACATCGACCTAAGCACACATATGCACTTACACACACACATATCGACTAAGACAAACACACATGGACTTACACACACACATGGACCCACGCACACACATGGACTTACACACAACAACAACAACCGCCATTATCCACCCGGCGCTCCGCTCGTTGTTGTGAGCATCGATCCGGCTCAATGTCTTCCAGGATTTTCGTGTAGGCTTCTATTTGTACATCCATCAGCTTTGGTTAATTTTCCTAACTAAATTTAAGAAGCTCTAAAGCATAATAGCATATTTCACGTAGGATCTCTTGAGCAAGGGCATGCAGGTTGTCCCTGTAGGGTGTTGGTAGTCCCATATATGTGAGGTATATTCCATCAATGGAGTGCAGTTTGTCCTGAAGGAGGATGAGGGCCTGTTTAAAGATGACATCAGAAAGTTGACGTTGAGGTTTGTATTTTCTCATTGAGCTCTGTGGAGGATGTCCTCACTCATGCCCTCTTTGTATTTTTTCCAGAGTCCCATGGGGTTAGATGGTCTGCAAACTTGAAGATTTATGCAGAAGAGCAATGTCAGTTGGAAAGGGTACTGACCAACAGAAGCTTCTATCATAGCTTTATGAAGATGGTGATCATGCACAAGAATTGCACGAAAATTGAAAGCTTCCCTGTATGTTTGACAGACTACTCCTTCCACTGTTTAGAGGTCTTGGAAAGATTTGTGCCCTTTGGCAACATGGAGAAGCATTGGGAGAAAGTAGCACTGCTGATTGTTGGGATGAACTGTGTAGACTCGTCCTAAGGCATCAGATTGACCATCAGCAGCACGTTGCTTCCATTTATTTTAGCAGTCCATGTATAGTAGGAGGGAATGTAATGGTAGAGCAGGTTGGCAGCAAATGGGTCACTTGGGCACCAAACAAAAAAAGCCATAAGGGTGGTATATTGTGGAGCCAGGGTCCTGCTGTTGGGCATTTCCTTTGGTGACATAGATGCGTTGAGCATTTTGGAGGTGAAGTGCCAAATGGACGACTGTGGGGGAACGGTCATGGATGGGGAAGCCAATAATTCTTCAAATTGCCTCATGGTTGCTGATGTATCTTCCTTGGAAAAACTGTTTTAGCTCATGCACACTTTGCCCCTCTGTTTTGTAAGGCAAAGACAGCCATGTCAGAGCCTTTGTTGATGTATTGGCAAAGATATTTGATGGTTTTTTTAAGAATAGCCGAATTTCACATTAAAGTGGAGCAGGAAGATCTTGCACAGAAGAGGGCAGTAGGGAGCGATCCATCGGTTGTGAACCTTAATTTGCGAGTTAGTGGCAGGTCTGAGCGTTGTTTGAAATCCACCATGCTCAGTATTTCTGTGATATAGAGGATAGCCATCATGGGCCGACTGAGTGTCTTTCAAGTAGTTCCGTGGATACCTCTTGGTACACCTGTGGTCTTGCATACATGGCGCATTTAGATAGAACTGGGCACATGGGCCATGGAGCATTTGATTGCAGACCACATAGAAAAGTGCAGGGTCTTAATGGGGGTGAGGTAGCTCAGCACTGATAAATGTGTCAATGTGACTGGCATGAATTGTTTCCCTCATCCATAGCGAAATGTGAGCATGAGGAAGACGACGTTTTTGCCACCCAACGGTGTGCAAGTTACTGCTTGTCTATCCAAAGATGCCGCCTTCATTGGTCGTAATAAGCATCATGAGGTCATAAACTTTGAGTTTTAAGAGCCTCGCTAAGATGTCATGTCTGTTTGGTGGTTTTTGGTTTGTATAAAGGTTAAACCTGGATCTCCTTTCATTTGGGATTGCAAGTGAAGGTGATGAAGATATGAGGCATGGCATATTGGCTGATGTACGTCATGGCATCGTGAGTTTTATCATGCATGCATCTTGGTGAAGCTGTGAAGGATGAAGGCAAAATAACTAATCAGCCCACATTGTGACCGTTTGCATCTCCTTCGGAATTGATGGCATCCCAGAGATGAGCATACTGTTCACCTGCAGGCGGTTTTGATTCAGTTGAATGTAAAGAAGGTGCTCACTGTCAATGTTGGCATTCTAATCGAAAACATACTGGTGAAAGAGGTTGGTGCACCATAATATGTGGTTTCCTCCTCTGTCCATGATCACGAAGGAATACAAGTTTTTTTAGAGGAGACAGTTTTGTGAGAATGTCTTTGTCCTACAGCTTTGTAATTGGAGGAATGTTGACATGGTACCCATCTTGGCCTTGTGACAGGAAAATGTGTTATTGTAGGGCATCGTATGCTCTGTTAGTGTCAGGAAATCGTGCCATGGTGTTTTCTTGGTATGGAAGAACAATGTCGCTTTCACAATGTTCCTCACCCACCGTAAGAAAGCAAGGTCAACAATATTTGGGGCATTGAACCTCCCTGCATGCTCCCCGCTTTGGTGGAAAGTAAAGGTGTAGTACGGCAAAATTTAAATGGGTGATGTTCCTACGAATGTGACAAAACAATATACGAAATGGAATGGGCTGTAGCTAAGAAAGTCCAACGTATTTAGCAGTATAACAGATTAATCAGCATCTCAGTACTATAGTGTGACGTGAGCAATCGAAACAATATAAAAGCATTGAAGAAATAAGCAGAAATTAGTGTACATTAAAGAGCAGCAGTATGCACAGGTAAGTTGAGAAGCAGGCTACAGTCTAGATTATAGACTGCCAGTATGTCGACTCAATGACCTAAGCATTGCTACAGTCGACATATAAAGCTAGCAATACGGTCAGCAGCTGAAAAAGCAGGATATAGTCGACATGAAAGGCTGGCAGTACACTGAGTATGGTAAAGAAGCAGGCAACAGATTATAGACTGGCATACTGACATGGACAAAAGCAAAATTAGCAGTGTAGATAATAGAGTGCCAGTGCACTGACATTAATTAATCGGCAGGCAGCAGGCCAGAGGACAGACTGGTAAATACACCGTCGCATCGTCATAAAAACACCTAAAAAATATTTAGCAACCTAATAATGAATTATTTTCTGCACACAAACATTATTGTAATATTTTGCAACTTATTAGTTTCATAATAGTAAACAATGAACCTGCGTTCTTAGCGAAAGATTCAATAAAATTGTACTTTACATTGCCGTGGTGAGGCCTAGTCCTGTGCAGAGCCTGCGGCTTCGCCTAGATTGCCCAGCCGGAGGAGGTGACACATTGCCAGGCTGGGTGCTGGGCCGCTCTCCGCACCCACGCAGCAATGATGCTATGTAAGCGCTATAATATTAATATCTACGGACTTTATATCAGTAATTGCACGCATTGGGGTGGGGGGGACATAAGACTGTGAAGAATGAACCTCAGCGTTGTGTGTATAGTTTTTAAGCATTGTTAACGTGAATGGAAATTCTTAGCGATCATGTGTGCGTTGCTAGGGGCAACTCCTGTCAGTGTTTCGAGAAATGCGCATTTGCGTGCTTTGTCTCGCGGTCGGTGGCAAAAATATATAAATAAAGAGAAATCACACAAAAACACAATTTTAACAAATTTAAAAGTGACGGACGGGAAATGGAAATAGCGCTTGCCCACCGCGGGGCTTACGTCGTGGTACCTGTCTAATTTTTTTCACATAAACCCCACCGTTTGAGAGCCAAATGCCTCGCAAGCGCGCGTGCGCAGACGGACAGACAGACAGACAAAAAAATACTTTTATAGGTTAGACTAGCGGGAAGTACCCGGTGTTGCCCGGGTGAAAAATATATTTCAAAACTTCTCTTAAAAACCTTACATATACAGTACATACACAGATACTAAGGTATTGTGAAAGCCCGGTGAGCCGTTTGTCCATTTCTCCACCAACAAAATTATAAGAAGCTTGCACAAGTCCAAAAAGTTATAGAAAGTGGGGGGTAAATAGTTGATCTAAAAGGTTTCCGAAAATTGCGACCACCACCCCCCACAAAAAAATATATTTACCCCCGCGTAGGGATATATACCTGCATGCCCTACATACAACAGAGTAAGTAGTATCTATTTTTCGATTTAAAGCTTTCGTGACTGCAGGGATTAATATTCTTGGTTCTTTCGGTAAAGCCACGTAGAAGGGAAATAATAAAATAATAAAAATTAAACAATCAAATTCTCACGACGTTTCGGCCACAACGCAAGCAGCCGTCCTCACGTGAAGAACAGAGCTGTCGGAAAGACAGAATCCTAATAAACACTGCTGGCTGCTGCAGTTCTTTATTATTAAAATTTACCTTCCTTTATTACTGGTAATCCTACATAATACACGAGCATAATATGACTTTTAAACCCCCCACCGCCTACACATTCCACAAGGAGTGACTAAACCCATATCTGCATTTGTCATCAACATGCTAAATTCCTCTGTTGATATGTAAACTCCTTTGTCAAGGCGCTCTCCTCCTCCCACCCAGCTTAAAATACGCTGCCAAGTTTAGCAGTATTTATTAGGATGCTGTCTTTCCGACAGCTCTGTTTTTCACCTGAGGACGGCTGCTTGCGTTGTGGCCGAAACGTCGTGAGAATTGTTATTTTTATTATTTTATTATTTCCCTTCTACGTGACTTTACCGAAAGAACCAAGAATAAGAAGTATCTGTTGACTCTGTAGTTGTATCTACTGACTGTACAGAAGTATCTACTGAGCCAGTAGTAGCTACTGACTGTATAGTAGTATTTACTGACTGTAGCAGTATTTACTGACCGTAGTGGTATATACTGACTGTTTTAGTATCTACTAATTCTATATAGCAGTATCTACCAACTCGATAGCAGTATCTACTATCACTACAGCAGTGCATACTGACTGTGGTGGTATCCTGATATTGCTACAGCAGTGCATATCCACTGTAGTGGTACCTGATTTCACTACAGCAATGCCTACCGACTGTGGTGGTACCTGCTTTCACTACAGCAGTGCATACCGACTGTGGTGGTACCTGCTATCACTACAGCAGTGCATACCGACTGTGGTGGTACCTGCTATGACTACAGAAGTGCATACTGACTGGTGGTACCTGCTATTAAAGCAGTGCATACTGACTGTGGTGGTAACTGCTGTGATTACAGCAGTGCATACTGTGGTTGTACCTGCTTTCACTGCAGTACTGCATACCGACTGTGGTGGTTCCTGCTATCACTACAACAGTGCATACTGACTGCGGTGGTGCCTGCTTTCACTACAGCAGTGCATACTGACTGTGGTGGTACCTGCCTTGACCACAGCAGTGCATACCGACTTTGGTGGTACCTGCTTTCACTACAGCAGTGCATACCAACTATGGTGGAACCTACTTTCACTACAGCAGTGCATACTGACAGTGGCGGTCGCTGCAATGATTACAGCAGTGCATATGTTGTGGGACCTGCTATGATTACAGCAGTGCATACTGTGGTGGTACCTGCTATGATTACAGCAGTGCATACTGACTGTGGTGGTACCTGCTACCACTACAGTAATACATGCTGACTCTATAGCCGGATATATCGACTCTATAGCAGAAAGTACTCACCTGACAGAGTGGCGTGGTGAGGCCTAGTCCCGTGCAGAGCCCCCGACCTCGCCTAGATTGCCCAGCCGGCAGAGGCTGGGGGCTGGGCCGCTACCCCCCCACCATCCTCCCGCTTGCGCTACAATCATACTATCTAAGCGCTATAATATTAGTATCTACCGACCCTATAGTATTAAGTGCACACATTGGGGTGGGGGGGAGAGAAGAGGACATGACACTTTGATGAATTTAAATCAGCGTTGCGTGTATTTTTTGTAGCATTTTGAACGCAGGGATTCATCTTCTTGGTTCTTTCTACGTGACTTTACCGAAAGAACCAAGAAGATGAATCCCTGCAGTCACGAAAGCTTTAAATCAAAATTCAACCGCCTCTACGGGGAGGGTTTCCACATAACTTTGAGATCCTTTCAAATTCCTTTGTCAATGCGCCCAGCTTATATATATGCTCCAAGCTCATGTGCTGTTTCATTCAGACTCTGTCGCCTCGACGGACCTGGTTTTCACCTGAGGACGGCTGCTTGCGTTGTGGCCGAAACGTCGTGAGAATAATTTTATTATTATTTTATTACTTCCCTTCTACGTGACTTTACCGAAAGAACCAAGAAGATGAATCCCTGCAGTCACGAAAGCTTTAAATCAAAATTCATGTGTTTCTGCTTGTTTGTGAGCAGCGGCTGGGGACAGATGGGCGTGCCATCGCCGTGCTACCAGTGCCAGGTCGGCGTGTGCCCCACGCGCGTGCAGCGCCCCAAAACGCACAGTGCCGCGCGCCCTTCCGGGCAGCAGCACAGCTGCATGGCCGAGGACTGCTACAACCGCCAGGGTGAGCGCAGCCGGAGGGCCACAACGCCACTCCGTCGCCTCTCGCGAGCCGCTAGCATTTATAAGCGACGATCGAATCGAATTTGCTCTGTCTCGCAGACCCGCAGGAGTTTCGCGGGTGAAGGTGGGGGGGGGGGGCGATCTTGCTGTGCATTTCTCCCAATGAGTGTTTTTTGCAGACAATTTCCAAAATTTTGACCGTGATGCCGGCATTCCCTCCCATCATCTCTTTCACAAGATCTTGTAACCTCGCTCAATGCAAGAAATATATTAATTATTTTTTTCTACTTCAGGAGTGATGTTTGTTGATGGCCGATGGGAATTGTGGGCCTGTGCTAAGCAACTGTGATAGAAAAAAAGATTTGGGCAAGGCAGCATATTGGTCCGGGGGTAGTTACCGACAGATCCCGATGAAGAAATTAACACTTAAGTAAAGCGTGTGAGTGAATCGACATAATTCTCTGATCCGTTCTCTATACCGCTATCGTTTTATCAGCATAATATAAACACAAACCTCACTTTAAAATATCACGACATGCATAAATAACCAACTCAATAAGTTTTGTTGCTGTAATTGTTTGGGTGGAGCAATACAGTAGCATTTAACACGTACCACTCATGAAAACTCCGTGACCCTAAGTTTAATTCTCAGCCAAGGTTAACATGAGCGACACTTAAACTAATCCTATTTAGTTTGTTGTCCAACCCCCGCACCCCCGATTAGCACGTGTTCTACGTACGGCGGGAAAGAAGTTATGATTATGACGACAAGTCTCGGCAGATGGTTGACATTGGATGACAATCATGAGAGACGGAGATTGGCTGCCTAATCATGGGGGTGGTGAGGACAGACGATAGGAATTGGCTGACGACGATGGCGGTGAGCATCTTTGTAATGATGGCAGTGGTGATAGAACTTCTTTCGCACCGTACGTGGCCAACCGTAGATGACTGCGATACGATGATGGTAGTGCGGCGAGAGGCTAACATCCGTGTGCTGTGTGCACCATGAACGCGCGTGGCAGGCCCCGGGGTTACCGGGACGCACTGTGTGCACCCGCGCACCTTGCAGGTGAGGCGCCGGCGGCGCGTGTTGCACGCGAGCGAGCCGCACATCAGCACCGCCTCCACGGTGGCCACGTGCATCAGCCAGGGCAGCCTCGTGGAGCACGAGGACGTCCTCATCGAGCAGGACCTCTTGGAGGAGGACGAGAATCGGCACCACTGACCGTGCCGCGAGCAGGGATCGAACACGAGTCGCGCGCGAGCCTCCTCCGCTCCTTTGCGTTGGGTCGTGTTTTTAACCCAACGATGATCCCTTGTTTATCGAAGATGGGGGTGGATGAACGGTGCGGTGGTTTTTGTCCATTGCGCTGTGAACCCAGCGAAGCAAGTTCGATCCCCGGCCACCACTAAAAAGCAGTGTGGAGTGGTATCTGAACTGGTCCTGGATGCCCCCTTTGTTAAACCGCACTGACAAGCTGAGTGGAGTATGGTCAAACATTCCTCGTGAACAACACTGCTTTACGATATTTGACCATTTTTTTGTGTCCCAAATTTTTATTCATAAAAAATATTTTATTCCACATCCTCCCTCGCATCATACATTGCACTATTTTGACACTCCGGGCACAATTCCAAGGGGCATCAAAGGTATCGGGCATACCGTACTTATCAGGGCAGGCAGGAGGTTTTTTTCCCCCTTTTTAAAGTGCTCTTTTAATTGTTTTGATTTAACCTTGTTTTGGACTTTTTGTGTTTATTCACATTATAAACAGTGATGTGCACGAGGTGAAAAATGTTCCGAAAAAAAAGTATTTGCAGTCGGCATGTGAGACGTGATAACAATGGCTCTTTCATGCATCATGCTATCGTGCTGTGTAGCCAGATGGAAATTCAGTAGGTACCTTGAAACACATACTCTTATACTCTTAGTTCTTTCGGTAAAGTCACGTAGGTAAAAAATGAAATTAAAATTAATAAAAATAAAACAATAAAAATCACGACGTTTCAGAGGCAACACAAGTCTCCGTCATCAGGTGGGACCGGCACAGCCAGATTTGCTGCATCAAGTGAAGGAGGGATTCAAGATGTAAGCTCTTAAGTACCAGTAATTGTTTCTGTGGGGTGGTTTATTTTAAATGTATCGGTTAGTGGGGGTCCACTGGCCAACTGGAGAGCATCTACTCTATACGCGACTAATCTATATGCTTGGATGTATGTTTGTTTCTTTCTATACTCTCCACGAAATTCAATGAACAAGGAGTCTTTTGAAAACTAAAGTAGTTTATATTATATTAAAACAATACAAATACTTTTTAAATTTCGATTCAAAGCTTTCGTGACTGCAGGGATTTATCTTCTTGGTTTTTTCGGTAAAGTCACGTAGAAGGGAAATAATAAATTAATAAAAATAAAACATAATAAAATAATTCTCACAACGCAAGCAGCCGTCCTCAGGTGAAGAACAGGTCTGTCGGAAAGACAGACGTCGTGAGAATTATTTTATTATGTTTTATTTTTATTATTTTATTATTTCCCTTCTACGTGACTTTACCGAAAAAACCAAGAAGATAAATACTTTTTACCTGATAAATCTGCTTAGCTGCTCTATCATTTACAATAGCTTGGCATGTGATGGCAAACTCTTGTAAATTCGTACAATGGATAGGGTTATAGAGGGCGGGGTGGCACAGAGAGCTGTTGAAACTTAATGGCTTCTCTTTAGTCTCCAATAAAACCACCTCCATAACAATGATCAACAACATCTATACAGCATATCTCAATGTAAAACCAAATACACTTGTATGTGCGTGTAGCGCAAGGACGTGCGGTCAGGGGAGACAGAGCCTCACCTGTTATACTCCAATGAAAATAGCTGTTACGAAAAAAAGAATCGTCAAATAAAAAATTTCATTTTCCACTGATCTGTGTTATAAATGTCATTTCTGTACGATTACAATAATTTTTATAGTCAAAATCGCCAAATTTGCGAAGCTCCGCTGCAAATACAGGAAGAGACGAGAGGTGAGGCAGCGACGCGCTCAGCCTCCCCTCTGATTGTGCAACCCCTGTTCTGTAATGCTGCGTGTTTTCATAAGGCGAATTGGATATAATTCGATGAATGTATTAGGGAATACATTTTTATAACACGTATACGAGTGAACAGAACTACGTTACGCGAGTAGGAATAAGCAGTTGTAAGGCTACCTCGGTGTAGCATCACACAAGGTGGGATGCTGCTGGATGCTCTTGATGCTACCCACGCCTCAGGCTTTGTTCAGCCTGCGTACGCACATCAAGTGTTATCGCAGACCGTGGCTTACCCTATATTGTACAGAGTGCTTCAACATTTTTTTAACACTTATATGGGACTATCGTTTTTAAGGGAAAAAGAACGGATAATACACTGTAACATGATACAAATTTTTTATGTTAATAGCTTCAAAAAGTCAAAGAGTCTCCACTTGTTCGCCATCATTGTCAATACATGCCTGGAATCTTCTTCAGGTGTACTCCAGAGCCCGGAGGCGCATTTCTTGTGGTATTGTTGCAAATTCTCACAAGTATTAATATTTTTTTAAGCACCCTGTACATTATTTATTGTAACGCGATTTTCCAAAACGCGGTGTTCTTCAGGAACGCAACTACTGCGTTACAGGAGAGCAGACTGTATAATCATTGCAGGGTCTCGAACTCAGGACACTGCTACATCTTCCATATCGTTCGTCTCCTGTCTTTATCTCTTCTGTCGTCTCACAATGATTTTATAGATAGGGAAGGGGTGGGGGTAAAATTATTTCTGCTCGGGGCCACCCAAATAGGCCAGCACCACCACTGCCTGAATGTACCACGAGGAGGCGTTTCAAATCTTGCGCTCGCAGTCTCAGACTCGCATATTTGACATGCCCTCAACCAATCGCCCCAAACACCGCCTTGTTGTGAAAGAGCCAACGCAAGAAGATCCTGGGTTTGATCTTCCACGAAGCTCATGGTCCACCCTAAACTGTATTCACTGCACAAACCACGGCAGTAGATTTGGATACCTGATGCACAAGTGGAAAATGAAAAACTCCCCAGTAGTGTGTGACTGTGGTCATCCAGAACAGACCGTACAGCATACACTGATGCAACGCCCGATCCACAAATACGAAAGAGACATCTCAGTGATGATGATACACTCCACTGCTCTTGGCGCGGTTGTCTGGCTTGACCACCTGAATGTGAGATTGCAGTTGTTGCTCTGCGTCTACATTAGCCATGCGAAAGAAGATGAAGACCCATCGCCCAGCTTGAGCGCAGGGTGGGGTCTAAATAAGGAATTCACCATAAAAACACATGGTTTCAATAAAACAAATCCATATGATCTCGCACATGCGTGTCGCACAACGGCATATCAAACTAGAATGTGACAATTGAACTCACCTGCGAAATAGCAAACTCAAGGTATCCGTGTGCTACCGATTTTGTCTTTATAGTATTCGCTATTCATGGTTTCCTGCTGCAACAAAAACACGTTATAGCAATTGTTTTTACCTTGAGCAGGGTCCATAGTTTGATTCCTGGCCATTGCTGACATCGGTGACAAGTGCATCTGAACAGATCCTGTACCCCCCCAACCCATACCGAGCAGCATGGTAAAGTATGGTCGAACAGCCCAAATGACCGACCAGAGGCGTAGCTTAGGGGGGGGGGGCAGGGGGGTACATATGTCCCCGGGCGCCAAGGTAAAAGGGCGCCAAAATGAGGCTTACAACGTTACATTATAACGTATGCGGTGGGCGCGGCAGCCTGAAACTATTGCACAAATCTACACCTCAACCTAAAAGTTTATGTATCCAAGCCACACACAACCTACATGTCATGTAATTACATTTGGTACGCACGCCTATTAAGAACTTACATGGAAGAACGTTGCCCGATCATTGCTACAACTCTGTGGGCTCTCATGAAATTGGCTTTTTCCGAGACCAAGGTGCTCTGCAAACCTCCTGGCTACCATCAAAGGTTTGTACACGAAGCCATACAAATACAAACAGACATAATTTCAACCGTGATGATGGTTACAAACTGAGTAATCATTGGAAAGATGTGATTAACCATGCAAAAAAGATTTAACTACACTTATTTGGACCATCTTATTTGACAGACACATTACAGCTATTGATAGACCGCCAGTCTTGTTATACCCAGGTTAGTTTTTATTTTTCACACTTTTGTTATGTAGGCTAGGCGTATCACAAACCGTACCCTCTCCATAACAAGGCTCAGTCTTTTGTTATGGCAGTCTATTCTTAGTCTTAGCCTCACCTTACCATATAATAAAAAGTGTGCCGTACTTGGCCCTTCCCCTCTTCAACCATTATATATACGGAGTGGTAGATCTTAATCTCTCATTTACTTTGATACAGCTGTCGTGGCTGTGACGGTTCCACCTGAAGACGGAAGCTTGCGTTGCCTCCGAAACGTCGTGATTTTTATTTTATTTTACTTTATAATTTTTTTACCTACGTGACTTTACCGAAAAAACCTAAGATATGGAAGAACGTCCCAAACAACAGACAGGCGCAGTCTTTCAGCCTTAGTCCTGGGCTGTTTTTTGGTGGCGGAAACTACGACGGCCTGAAACCGCTGGAGTGCACTATCAAAGCTGTTAAAGTTATCTATGAAGGACTGGATGAACTGGTAGGGCTGCTAGATAAATTATCAGAGGACTAACTATGACGCCTGAAACCAGAAGTAATGCAGAACAGTTCAGGCATGCGTATTCATTTTAACTTCATGGTTTTATTACATTTCTGGAATTTCATTCTTGGAAAAATGATCGTGTTCAGAAGCGCTTATAGGATCCTACTATGAATTTCAAGGAAGCAGCAACTGATCTTGAATTATTGGAGCATGAATTTCAAGCTTCGTGATGATTTGAGCCAAGTTGCTGCAGAAAACGCCAAAACAAGATGCACAGCCTGGGGATCGATGTGGACAGAAGAATTAGCGACGTCGGAAGATGCCAGGAGAACTGGCAAGAGATTCCGGCTTTCAGCAGAAGAAGAAATTGTGCGCGTTTGAAGAGCGTATTTGATCGACTTCAACAGGAGATGTCACACGGTTTTTACGACTAAAAGACTGAACACACAAATTTGGATTTCTGCTGGACGTCAAAACTCTTCTATCCGACACAGATGTCGATGCAATTCGTCGAAATTGCACAGATTTTAGACATTTCTATGACACCGACATCAATGGCCACGAACTTTTCACAGAATTGGAGATTGCAAAATGCTGCTCAGTAACCGGAATGAAGTTCTACCAGAAACTCCTTTGGATCTTATTGGTTTTATTGTGTTTTATGGAGACGACATATTTCCGAATTTGCGAATTTCACTGAAAATTTAATTAACAATAGCAGTTTCAATTGCAAGCTGAGCGGTCGTTCAGCAAATTGAAACTTATTTTGTCGTCTTCTTGGTTCCTTCGGTAAAGTCAGACCTGGTCTTCACCTGAGGACGGCTGCTTGCGTTGTGGTCGAAACGTCGTGAGAATTATTTATTATGTTAAATTTTTTATTATTTTTTTATTTCCCTTCTACCGTGACTTTACCGAAAGAACCAGAAGATGAATCCCTGCAGTCACGAAAGCTTTAAATCGAAATTATTTTGTCGTATTTGCGTGCTTCAATGGGAACAAAATCGTCTCAGCGATCTTGCTCTTCTTAGCGTTGAAAGAGAAACATTGGAAAAACAGATTTTGATTACGTGATTGACCAGTTTGTGACAGTGAATCAAGAAAATGTATCTTTTGTAGACTATGTCAACCAGTTCTATGACAGTGACTGATTGAGCCATGTAATAATTTCTATACATTTGTTTCTTTAAATACAAGTTTTCATTAAAATTTTAATTGTTATTCCTTATTCGATGTAATAGGAAAATTTGATTAAACGGGGGGGGGGGGGGGGGGGGGGGGGGGGGGGGGGGGGGGGGTGGGGGGGGGGGGGGGGGGGGGGGGGGGGGGGGGGGGGGGGGGGGGGGGGGGGGGGGGGTGGGGGGGGGGGGGGGGGGGGGGGGGGGGGGGGGGGTGGGGGGGGGGGGGGGGGTGGGGGGGGGGGGGGGGGGGGGGCGGCCAATTTTATAGTTCATCCCCGGGCGCAAAATCCTAGCTACGCCTCTGTGACCGACACGGAGGCCCTTGTACAGCAGTGGACTGGCAAATGAGCTGTAATGTTTGCATTATAAATGAAAGCGTATTTTGCCATAACTGAAAAATCTGAGTCTTGCTGCTCTAAACGAGCATGGGGTGAAATTCCATTCTGTATGCAGCTCTCAGCAAGGTGGTCAATATTCCACATTCTTTTGGGAGGGGAAACTCTATGAACCACCACTTCTGCATTTCCACACAATAGATTTTATTTGATAAACTCCCGATCTTCAGTAGCATTCTAGCACAATGTCAGCAACGGTTTGTCCAGAATTACCAGTAAGCGAGGGCTAATCTGGTTTCCTGTACCATGTTAAATGGTCCATCCATTTAAGTGTAAACCTTAGATTCATCCATTCATCAAATGCAATATTGTAATTGGTATCTATCATGCAATACAATGCATTCAACCACATCCCAAGACTCTGTAAGGAAAAATTGGAATTTTATCGAGGCAGTCTATAAAAACTAAAACTATAACTTATACCAGGTGAGGCCCACTGAGCTATGTAGCTCTCTTTCAGAAGAGACCTGGCTCAGGTGTTTCACAATATTACGTGTTACTCTTGTTCAAGAGAAATACAATTACAAGATGTTACCTCAAGTGTCTGCCGTCTGGGATGTTGCTCTGTATGCTGTCGATTGGCTGCGG